CTAGTTGATGAAGAGAAACTTTCAAGAGCAATATATATAGAGGAACTTCATCAAACAATATTTGGCAAATATCGCCATTTAAGATTTGTGCGCTATCATAAGCGATATTTATATTTTTACTTTCTCTCTAAATCATAATGTAGGCAAGAATTAACGTAGATAACTTTTGAAGCACTTGGGGATCATTCACACACTTGTGTTTTTAACCATTTTACAAAATAGTGAGTTTTTACAAACAGTAAATGAGATTTCAAAAATATAGATGCATACATACATACATATGTGTGTGTGTACAGAGTAGTATATAATGGCGCCACCGCTGCTCGGCGCGCGCGCCGCAGCCGCGGCACAACACACACACACACACACAATCACCACACACACACACATATATATATAACTAGTATAATGATTGATATCTATAGTAACGTAGCTCTAGATAGTTCATATAGCTAGCCATTATATCAGTGTATAGTATAGTAGTTAGTATATATATAACATAGGGTAAAGAGTAGCTGATATACCTATAGGTAAATATATATTTACAATTATGGTGTGGTGAATATATCGCGCGGCAGCGCGCGCAACCACACACACAACAGAATTTATATGACTAGTATAAGTATAATTAAAGTATATATAAGAAATATTCAGTAGTAATATAATATCGTTAGTAATATACTAATTATAGTTCATATATATACATATATATAATATCATATACTATTAAATTAGATATTATATAGTTAACTAATAAGTATCGTTATATTATACAGCTTTATATATCAGTCGGTATATAGACCATATATGTATAGTCATAGGATATGTATTAGTAATTAATACTAGGTATAAAGTCTAGTAGTTATACTGGGTATAGTTAGATATACTAGATTATACTATATGTATTAACGTAAGTGATACAGGTATGATTATGTATATATATATACTATTAACGTAATACACCACACTGCAAAATGCGGGTATTACTTATTCTCTACAGATCGAATCGTATATGTTATGATTTTTGGCACAGTTTATCCAGGTAGATTATCACCAGAATTAATAACCAATCCAACCTCATTCATGAATAAAATATGTAGAACCTACATTAACCAACCAACTATTAAAACTACGTGTTACAAATATACATCCTATGTTGTTGCAATCGTAACTCTAAACATAGAAATGTATGGACTATCTCGGCTAACGTTTGAAAAACTTATGAGAGGGTAAAATATAATGGTGAGTCGTTTGTATCATATCTATACAGAAGAGGAATACTTACGCCTATGTCTGTATCACGCCGTATATATGGGCATACACATCTGAGCGTCGGTAAATGCGTGTATGATGTAAGCGCAGTGTGAAGATTGGTGAGTTATCTGTGCTGGCGTAGGTAACGATCTTTTCCGATAACAAGATAAGTTGAGTTAGGTGTGTAGGATTTGTGCCACGAGAGAAATGAAAGGAAAAAATCTTCCCATCGGCTAATGAGAACGTTATGTAACGACAGCTATATTGTATATAACGTGCTACCCAATGCTAATGCAGGTAAGTCGCAAGTAAGGGCGGTAGTATCGATTAGTATTCATGACGATCAGACCCATGGGGAGGAGGCCCGTAATAAAACTCATGTAGTCTGCCTACGATATACCCTCCTTCCTCGGATTACTCTGTACTTCCAGCGTAACCCGAGCTCGGATAGAGGAAGAGATAAGAGGGCCCTTAATGGGAGAATTGGGTCGGAGAGTAATCCGATAATAGAGGCTCCGACCATTCTAAACGACGGAATTATTGATGTATCTTCTATGCATAAGGATAATAGATCATACCTAGTAGAAAAGATTTTCAAAAATCATTCTTCAACAAACCCTACCCTTTTTTCTTTTCTATTTCAAGTTTCTCGAATTGTAGAATATATGAATGAATGATTTCTTAACGCTCGCATATAAGTAGGAAGAGCATAGACACTATAAGCCAGGCAATTCTTCTTTCATGCTCAATGACACCAAAGGGATATTAAGTCTTAATGAATAGGAATTGCGATCATAGATGGAGATGATCGCTAGGTAGATACTAATGAAATAGACCACTTGAAGAGTTCCCTATGAAATGATGCACCCTTGAGAGAAAAACGGAACACACTTACGAAGAAGTTCCGGGGAGTGTACGGAAGGAAAGCTTACGGAAACTCGACGTGGTGAGAAGCGGGGAGCTATTGAAGCGTCTATGAGGTCGAAGCTCTCCCTTGTTCCTCAGTTAGCTCAGTGTAGAGGGCGTCGGCTGTTCAACTTGATCTTGTCGTAGAGGTTTTTTCCGGGGAATTCCTACTTGGGGGAGATTTTGATGATTTCTACATTAATTTCATTTTCAATATAAAAGAGATGAAAGTAATATTCATTAATTGAAATTATGAAATTAAAGGCTCGCTGTACTTGACCGGCTTAGGGTAGGTAACAACCCAAGGTTCCTTTTTGTCTTTGTTTCTATTGCTAATTCCTATTTCATCTCTATCACATTCTGTTCTAACGATATTTGAGAGATCACCGTCATACCTCGGCGTTAAGATCCGGTAGGTTAAATCCCTTGTAAATAAGCGGCCACCCAGTGGCTTCTTATGAGCGTCAATCTTAAACCTTACGTCCAACGCAATTATAAGAAGTTGCGTTTCCGCAACCATGGATTTGGTACTGCAGCTGCCCATTCATTAATTTTGCATCCAAGTACAACACGAACTCTTCCACCAGGACTAAAGCCACACAATTAACGGCGCGCGAGCGAGCTATAACATTAATTAATGAACGCAGGATATAACCACCACTTCTTGATCTTCCTATATTCTTCGCCTTCCTCTTCTCCCCCCTCTCCTCATAGACAATTCTCGCCCCCAACCCTATGGCTCGACCGCGACGAGCGTTGAACGAGTGCGAGAGAGAGAGAGAGTAGTCGATTCCCCAAGACGCGGGGTATAGCTTACTATGTACTGATGACACAACCCCTTCGCCGATAAATAAAGAAAAGTGAGGGCAAGTGGGACGTACTCTCTACGGCCATTGACTAAAAGACCCGTGCAACTGCGACGACGCTTCACCAACTCCGCCTCCCTCCCAACATCACCCTCATCTCTAAGTGAACTCCGTCGAGCTCCCTCGATCTCCCTCGAGCTCTCTAAGTGAACTCCCCCAACTCTGCCGACTTCTCCCCTCCTCCACCGACTTCCCCCAACTCATCCGACACCGACTACCCCCAACTCCGCCGATCATGATCGATCTCCCTCGAGCTCGATCTCGAGATCCCCCAACTAAGGTAACGATCAAGCCCCAAATTTTTTTACTTATTCTCTGTTATTTTTCAGTTAGTGTATAGTTTATTTGTTGTCCTTAGGGTTTCAAGCTAGACTAAGTTGCATGAGATTGAAAATGATCTTGTCAAAATTTTTTACCTATTCTCTTTTTCTTTTTTTTGGAAAATTTAATAAGAATAATATCCATTGCGAGTGCGAAAAAATTAATAAGAAAAATTAATAAGAATCAAGTCTCATCTCTTTTGAACCAAGGTTGGCTGCCAAAAACTAATAGCAATGCGAGTGTGGAAATTTGAATAAGCTTAAAAATATCCATTGCGGATACCTTATTTTCTTATAACGGATGAGGACATTTGAGCTCATGAGGGATTCTGGAACTGAGTGTGTATAAATGTTAATTTGTTTAAAACTTCGAATTTATACCTAAAAAATTACATCTAAACTCATAGCTTTTATAATTTGAACCTAGTTTTTATACCTAAAAACTTACATCTAAACTTACATCTAGGAAATTTGAACCCAGTTTTTATAATTTTAGTATTTATATTGAGCAAAACCAAAATACATAGCTTTTATAATTTCAGTTTTTATCTTTCTGTTTACTTATAAGTAGCTTGAAATGGCTTCATCATCAACTGTGGAAAGTAACTCATGTGTTGAAGTGGATATTAGATTCATATTGAGGAAAGTAACTCATGTGTTGAAGTGGATATTAGATTCATATTGAAACAATGCGAGTGTGGAGAATTAGCGGATGTGAAGATTACGAAGATTCATATTGAAACAATGCGAGTGTGGAGAATTAGCGGATGTGAAGATTACGAAGTCAAACAAGAACAGTAACCGTGATAGAATATACTACTCGTGTAAAAGGCAAAAGTGCGGTTCGTTTTTGGACTGGTGCAAGATTTCATCAATTGAACAAGTATCACTCGCCATTCCCCCACCAGAGGCGCATGACTTAGTTTTTGTACATGAAAAAGTGCTATGGAAATGACTAACTATTATAGCTTTTTTGTTGTCTTTTGGTTTGGCCATAAAAGAAATTATATGATGTAACTTGATGTGCTGGAATGAAACCATCTTTTGTTTGGCCATTAAAGAAATTACGTGATGTATGTGAGAAAAATACTTTCTTATGTATGTAAAGTGTGCTCAAGAGAATTATGACTTCCATATCTAAGATATGAAATTTGAATCAACGTGCGCTACAATGCCATCTCTTGAACTGAAGCATTACAAGGCACCGTCGAATATAAGCAGTTTCGTAGTATGCCAATTGTTAATAGTCACTTGGTTTAATGAACATGCATTGATCACTTATTACTACTGAGACTTCGCTGAATGGTAAAAAAAATAAGACATACAAGTTCTAGTTCAGAACCCCAATAGGTTTGGTTCAAAAGAACAAGGAAATAAAAAAAATAAACTTTTGCAAATTTATAAATCTCTGTCAGAAGTAAAATACCAGCTAAGAATTCTTCTAATATCCATCAGGGTTTTGGAAGTAAAATTCCCTCGAAACAATCATCAACAAAGAAGCAAGCAACTTTAGTTCATGAAAAATCTAAAAAGTAACCTGAAGAAAGTATCAACTTTCCAGTGAAGAAAGTATCAACTTTCCAGCAAAGAAAATTTTATTTACGCCCTCGGCATTAAATTGGAAACCCTAGACTTGTAGGAGAAAATAATTGAATCATTTGTCGACAACTTCGATTAGGGTTGTTTCATAATCACTGGGAGCCTCAAAACCATGGAGATTCATGACTGTGGCAGCAACTTCGATTAGGGTTGTTTCATAATCACTGGGAGCCTCAAAACCATGGAGATTCATGACTGTGGCAGGAATATTTGCAAGGCCACCGCCGAATATAAGCAAACCTTTCCATGTTATTGTATCAAATATATAGGAAATGAGATATAAATATCTACTGGGCAATTAGCAGTGGTCACAGAGAGCCCACGAAAAATAAATGCAAGAATTTTACTGTAATACTCAATACAAGAATTTTCGCTCTTATAATCAGTACAAATAACAATATATGACAAATTTTTACTACATCGGTAAGCTCCCTTCACATTCCGTATAGAACAATAAAAATATGAATCAACTAAGTTGTTGCATAAAACTAATTCAAAAAATTGACATGAATCGCAACTTTAGACCCAACCATTCAAGACCCAGAATGTAAGCCATTAGTTTCCAGGGAATGGAAATACCCAAAAGATTTAGCAGAAGATGAAAAGTTGTGATAAACCCAAAAGCAACCCTCAGCCTTGCCTAATATCCACATTGCATGAAATCTCGGTTCCTCAACCCCATCAGGATATACTACAATCTCACAACATAGAAAATTGTTTCATTCATTCTAGAATGCACAAAAATCATACTAAAATCAATAGTCATTACATTTTTTTTTTCAAAATCCTCATCTACTCATCGTCAGCAGGGGTGTTTTCCTGCACCTCTTCTTGTTGTCTCTTACTGCGTTTCCAGCGAGCTCTTGGACCTGATCAAAGGATAAGAAGTTAACTGTTAGGATCCCAATCCAAATCAAATCCAAACCAAATCCAAATCAAATAACTAAAATGTCATTAACCTATTTTAAGGAACGATTTATAAATCTAAATTATTTGTCTTAAACATACCAATGTTTGCATCATTCAAAAAGATTCACATCATCCCCATCTTCACTTGATAACCCATTACCCTCTTGCAAATATATATATATATATATACATCAAGAGGGATACTAAAATGTGAAAAATAAGAAATTATTATTAATAAAAGAATTAATTACTTACGGATTTGTGAGTGCCAGACAATTTCGCTTATCATGTGATTAGCCTACTTTACCACACCCATGACAACGTCTATCTTTTTTATTTTTGGCTCTAGCCATTGCTTTCTCCTTTCCTCCTTTCAACCTTTTGTCGCACCCTTTGCTCGCACTTGATCGGGTTCATTGAAACTACTTTGAAAAGTACAAGAACTATGCGCACTAATACCATCACCTATTATATTACTACATATTGAATTACTTTTCTCAGTGAAGCTCATTATCGCCATGCGGCTACTAAGAAATTGGACAATTTGCTCATTAATGCTACACAATCCATTGGTAAACATCGTCCTTGTTTCTTCACATACTAAGGCCTTGTCAACTAAATCCAAAGACGATTGGATAAATTGACTCCTCGCTAAAAGATAAGAAGTATCAGGAGATATCTGCATACCTTTATCATCATCTATTGTCCCCGATTTTGCAGACTTAGTCCACCTCTTTAAGATGTATTTATCGGGCAATATTTCAACATCAAATTTCATTAAATATGAGATAATGTGCGTACATGGGATTCTGGCGCTTTCGAACTTTTTACAACTACAAGAAACCAAATTCAAGTCCTTGTCATAAACGATTTTACGGATTTTACTTGTTGCGTGTTTCTTTCTTTGAATTTGATAAACACGGTGATTGTCGGTTTCCCGAACAAATTGCAACTTGTAGTTAAAGCTGTCACACACTTCAGCCTCAAACTTGTAATACATCTCATTCGTGTAAATATCAACCATTTGCTCCAAAAAATCATGATTTATTCTAAGTTTAGGTTTCTCAATTACATCTTTGTGATCGGCCATCAACTCCTCGTGACATTGGTGCACTAGTCTCCTGCCAAACTGTATCATAAAATCCACCAATGAATTGTTCTTCGAAACAAATTTCTTGAAAAATGCATGTCCACTTTCTGCTCGTTGACTACTTGACATGTCAGCTAAGAAAACGTGATTAACATATGCAGGAATCCATCTTGACTGTGGTTCGTATTGGTCTTGCAACCACTTGTTTCCTTCTAATCCACTTTTCTTAATTAGACTTTCCCATTGTAAATCAAATTCTTCAAGAGTCTCCGATTTCTAAATACAAGCCGAGAACTCACTCTTATAAATACTATATTTCACTGCATCAATTTTCTCAGAAAACTTCATTAATATAAGCCAACTACAATACCTGTCAAAAGAATTAAATAAAGTGTTATACCTCCAGATGAGATGAGCGGATAGAATAAACAGGTGATAGTGCTCATGATTCAAAAATTATCAATAATATATACAAACTATAATACATGTGAAAAGTATTTGGAAGAACAAGAGGGAATGTCTTAGTCATAGCTGGGTCTTGATCGGTAATAATCATCTTCGGGGCACCACCAGGCATACTTTCCAAAAATTGATTAAATAACCATTCAAAATCATTAACGCTCTCATGATTCAAAAATCCACAAGCAAAAATAATGGTTTGACCATGATTGTTAACCCCCATTATTGGTGCAAATATCAGGCCATAACGATTAGTGTTATACGTAGTATCAAAGATTATAACATCACCGAAAAATTGTAAGCCCGCCTTGAACTTGCATCAGACAAAAAACAATGAGTAATCTTTTGTTCCTCATCGGCCTCAATTTGAAAAGTAAACGAGGGATTCTTTCCTTGTACCAATTTTAAATACTCATAAAACATTTCACCATCATGCCCCCTCATATCAGCATGTATATCCCTTCTATGATTATACAAATCTCTTTGAGTGCACCCAATATTTTTTATACCTTCAGATTGTACTCCAAAAAAACTAAATTGTTGATGCTAAGGTATATTCACAATGGAGAACTGTTTAGTTAAAGACTTTGTTGTGGCTGAAATGTTACGATGGGACCTTAAAAGATGAACATTTGATGGTGTTGATAGCGGACGGCTGTGCTCCTCATTAAAAACAGTAACAATATATTTTTCAGAGTTTGATTTTAAAACTACAATTTTGGCAGTACAATCCTCAGCTAAGCTTCCTCGACGTCTTTTCTTTTTAACATCCACGGTTCTTAGAGATTTTCCTTGTTTAAAACAAACATACTCATTCCTTCTTATTTCACCACTTCCCGGCTCTTTCTGAGTAGTCCAAGACCTTATACTAAACTCAGCTACTTTAGTATAAGCATTGTAGAATGTCACAACATCATTTATTGTGTCAAATTCTTACCCCTTTTTTTGCCTCAACTCATCTGATACTTGAGGAGTATATATCAAATCATCATCGTCCAAGTTTACTTCATTAGCTTAGTATATATCAAATCATCATCGTCCAAGTTTACTTCATTAGCTTCAGTGTCCAAGTTTTCCATTTCTCACTAAAAATTGTAATTGACCTATAAATTTAACCTGTTATAAATTTTTTTTGGAATTGCACTTTCCAATAGTGAAAACTCATGATTTTTCAAAACTAGTCCAAAACATGAAAATTAAACATACATGTTTTTGACATTTTGACTTAAACAATATTTTAAAATCTTATAAAATAATTTTATAGACTTAATAAAAGATAAAAACTATTGTTGTTAATTCTATAAACTAATTACTCAACATTTTCACAAATTCATATTTATGTAAACATGAAAACCAAAAAAAAGCAAAACATATATATATATATATATATATATATATATATATATATAAACCAATACTTGTATGTGTGTATGTGATTGAGTTTGAAGTATCTACACACAAGTATAAACCTAAACTAAATTACCCAAGCTTGATTGATCTTAAATAAGCTTATCTTGGATACGGATGAAACTTGATCTTGGATATAACTTGAATTGCAATTGGCTTCATACCGACTATTTCCGCCAACCTCCATTTGATATGATCATTATGGCGCAATTCCATCCAACCTCCGACTTGGATATTTGTGTAGATTACCTAACAATTAAATATAAACACTTGATAAACATTATTAGGAATTATTTGTAATCATGAAAATAAGATTAGGGAGTAGGCTCATAAACATGAGACCTAACAAGGCTAACATTCTCTTGATTAGCAAAGCAAGTTATGAAAAACTAAAGACTTGATTATAAAATTGTGAATCTTGCAATCTCTCTCGACCAATGTTGTTTCTAATCATGGAGGTCATGTTATTGGGTATACAATTATTTTCATCTATTTATTTATATTTTAAGATCTAACATTCTCTAATAATATATTAGATTTATGATCGATATTTGTTATCCACCTACGTGTTTCGCAATAATGACATTTAGTTTGGTCTTTAACCACAAGTGCCCACACCCCACGTTGGAGATGGGACTAATCTTGTTCGGCTACCCCTCCCAACAAGTATCGCTTCTAGATTTCGAACTCTTGCCAACAGGCAGGAGCCCACCTAGGGACTAACTGTTAAGATTGTGTCTTTGATTCTTTGTATAACCTTATGAGAATTAGATAAGTTTAAAGATCTATCATGATTAGGAGAATGAGTCTCATCATGATTAGGAGTTTGAATTCTATTCTAATTAGGAAGTTAGGCTAGAGATAGGGTTTTGGTTTCTCTATATATATATTCTTCTATTGTTGGAGAAAAAACAAAGCAAATGAGAGAGAGCCAATATTCTTATAATCTAAAGTTTGCAGAGGGTGTAACCTGATTCAAGAATATTATGCGAGAGGTGAGGGTTTCGTAGTCTTTGTCCGTGCAAAAAATTACATCATTGGAAGAGGGTTTCATAGTCTTTGTCTGTTCAAAAGACTGTAAGGAGAGGGCTTTGGAGATAATATGAGAGTTGATTATGTATGTGAGGTTAAGAGATTGAGAGACGAGAGTTGAGTGGTTTCTCTTGTAGTTCTCTCTGATACATAGTGGATTTCTCGTATTATTGCCTGTGGACGTAGGTCGAAGTTGGTAGACTAAACCACATAAATCTCGGTGTTCTTTATTCTTGATTGTGGTTATTTTATATCTTATTGATTGGGGGTTAGCTTCTAAGTTGCACAAATCATAGTAGGCGAGGAGACTAAAATTCCCCAACAAGTAGTATCAGAGTCATGAGGATGGATCCGAAAGCGAGTTCGCAAGATGTCACGCCCCGCTTCTCAAAATACTCGAGAATCGGAACGTGAACAAGCCCGCGACATATTAGATCAAGGAGAATAAATAAAAATAAATATTCCTTCTCAACCTAATATGCTAAGCATCAATAAATGCAATGCGAAGTCACAGGTCCCCGATCACAATAGCGAGAATATAATAGACAAACTCAGAACAAAATGATCCATATCATAAAAGAAATATCATCGATCACAATAGCGAGAATATAATAGACAAACTCAGAACAAAATGATCCATATCATAAAAGAAATATCATCCAAGACATAATAAAATGATCCATATCATAAAAGAAATATCATCCAAGACATAATATTCGGGTCAACATGCCCTTATACAAAATGGAACAACTGAATACTGAAGAGATAAACAATACACTGATCAAAAGGAAATGGAAGTGCTACAAAAATAAACTGAAAGGAATAACTAAGCTTCGATTTCTTCTTCTGCGTCGTCTGCTAGGCACTCTTGCTGTGAATATCCTGACTCTGGCACATCTCCTAGCTAGACCTATCCTTCTTCTAAGTCTGATGTACACTAGAAAAAATTGGTATACGTTAGTATGCATGGCACACGGCAAGATCCCACAAAACATACTGATGGAGATGGTAGCATTGGATTTGAAGATAATGAGCGCTCATATTCGGTCCAAGCCAAGTGATGGAGGAGATGGAGGCATCTGGCTCGTAGTAAGGAGTAGGAGAGGTGCGCCGATATGATTTGAGACAAGCGATCCAGGTAGAGTATGAAGACAACAAGTGAGCGAAGGTAACTGTCAAGTTTAGTTTGGGAGGAGAAGCATTGTTAATTTGCTTCTAATGTCAGAGGTGGCGAATATTTCTTGGTGCGCATGTAGAACCCCATAATTTTTATATGAATATATGTAAATTATTAGTAAATAAATAATTCTTTTATGATAAATAGCTTGAGGTCATTGATGTACATGATAACAAGTTATTTGAGATGATATGAGAGTATGGGTGTAGAGTTTTGTGCGTTGGTTTTGCAAATTAGCAAAACGGGCACAAAACTAAAAATTTCCAGATCAGTCGACACATCAGTCGACTGACTGTATCAGTCGACACATCAGTCGACTGATATGCTGATTTCTAGTTTTTACAGGTTTCGGGTCTGTTTTGATTTGGTTCGGGTTTGGGTCGGGTTTAGCTGTTCATATATATTCTCCTTCACCCGAAATCATCCCCTCTCATCTTCAGATCAGAGAAAACCCTAGCCCCTCTCCCCTATCTCAAACCCTAGCTTTGTTCTTGGTGATTTGGGGAAGAACTTGGAGGATTTTCGTCGAAATCTTCACGTTGCAGCGAAGAGGAACCACTCTCTCTCAGATCCAGGAGTTTCTCATCACCCCAGAGGCGAGTAACATCTCGCCCAATCTTGTCCTATTTTCTAAATATTTTCAAATGGTTTTCATGAGTTTTGATGAGCCAAAAATGATATTTTTGTACAAAGGATTGATTTTTATAGCATATAGAGGGAAGATACGTTATTTTAGAATGTTAAAAATCCACCAATGTTTTGTGAATCGAAGATCTAGATCTTAAATGTTTTTATAAGAGATTTAACATGAGTTTTGTTTTAAAAATGTTTTAAAATATAAATACACATGTTTAGGGTTTTGTTTATGTATTTGTACATGAAAGTTATGTTTCAGTTTAGTTCATACATGTTAATATCAGTATTTTTCATGCTTGGGATTGATGGGGATAAGTTTAGATCAATTTTTGGGTGAATAACAACCTATGCAGAGTTTCTACAGTCCATCGGTCGACTGATCAGTCGACCGACGGGCTGAAATTTCAGTTATCAGTCG